TTTCCGTTGGCAGCCCTGGGATATCATATTTACCAAAGTAAATTTTGACGAATTTAATTTCCTAAAGCTGGACGGACCCACCTTTATTATTGTTTGTTTGTTTATTTATTTACATTCATATATAGTGGAAATGGAAATGGTGTGAGAATGTTGACGTAAATGTAATTTCAAAATAAATTTAAAAACCAAAAAAAAAATAAATTAAAAATTTGCCAGTGAGTGCCTACGCTTAGTTAGAATGTCGCCAATGAAAAATTATGTGAGCCCAGTAGCAGCAGAAGAGATGCGAAGTATATGAAATTATCACTTCAAGTAGGCTGTCCGCTGGCCAAGTTTGAGTTGATTTATTACCAGCCCTGCGCGTGGGTTGAGGTCAAGTAAAATTAAATATTATTATATATTTGTATAGGGCAAAAAGATAATTCAGCTAGTGTTTAGTGTCATTAAAAACAATGTGGGTAAATACTTGACCCGCGAAAACATTCATACTTTCTTTTTTTTAAAGGCTGACTGCATTTTGGATTCAACATTTCAAATGCGGATTACGAGTAAGGAACTTTTTTCTTTCGAGTTATGTGTGGTTCAAGTGTTGGGCACATAATGCAAAAAAAACAAAAACGAAGTAAAGGGTGTTGTTGTACACATACGAGTTGTGTTCAAAAAGTATCGAGAATTTTGAATTTTCGCGGGTTACGTATTATCGAATTTCAATTTTTTTGTGGCGTTATGTTGGCACTCATGTCTGTCACTTATGCCGACAAGCTCGGCCATTTTGAATGTTCACTTAATTGTTGACAGCTGCTTTGCTTGCATATGGTTTGGATGGTCTTCGATTTTTACCTATTCGAAAAAATGGATCAAATAACCGGTATCAAATTTTGTGTGAAAATCGAAATTAAGTGCGCTGATGCATTCCGAATGTTGACTGTGGCATACGGAGAAGCTACCTTGGACCGAAGCAATGTTTATCGGTGGTACAAAATGTTCTCAGAAGGCCGAGAAGATGTGAACGACGAAGAGCGCGCCGGACGCCCGAGCACTTCAACAACAGACGAAAAAATTAATTGCAGGGGCGTGGTGCATCATGAGTTCTTGCCACAGGGTAGAACGGTCAATATGGAATATTACCTGCAAGTAAACAATCCGCCAGAAACGCCCAGAAAAACACATATAATTTAATGTGATGGCCAAGAATTTTGCTTTAATACAAAGGCAAAGGTTTTTTCATTATGTTTTAAAAGTGATTTCGAGCAAGTGAACGCCACGCTGCCTCGAATATATTCCAGCCGAGAGACTCAACGTTCGACCACTTTTTCAGCCTTTGTCAGTAATAATTAATTATACTTTCTTAAGGCGTCTCATTTGTCTCGAGCTTATCTGCATAGGCAACGACTTCACATAACCCCATAAGAAATAATCCAGCGCTGTCAAATCGCGCCTCATCTACAGTTTTCTTCAATAAATTGGTTATTTCGTTGGCTGTATGTCATGTAGCACAGTCTAGTTGGAAAAGGCCGTCCATATCAGCTGGCTTATAGATTAGCATCACTGGGAATGCGACAACTTTGTTTATTAACTCAGTCGAATTCAACCAAAATTGAGCTTCAACGCAGAACAAATTTTTCTTTCAAACCAAGATCCTTCTGCAAATTTTTCGATAAAGCATTAATAGTTGCGCGCTTTGGTGGTCCGACTCATTCGTGCCCTCTTCGATAGCTTACTCCACAGCGGCAATATTGCACGATTTGCAAATTTTATTCCCAAGTGTATGTGTTCATTATGGAATGGGAACCCAAACTGACCATAAGTTCAGCATGAAAAAGACGAACTTGGGAAACACACATTTTAGGAAAGAATACTTATATATATAATTGGCGCTTTGTAACCGCTGAAGCGATTTTCGGCCGAGCTCCTCCTACAATTTGTAGTTTTTCAACTTGATGTTTTTCCAACAAACAGAGGAACCTACAGTTTATACTAAGCCGCCTACGAACGACTGACACAACCTTTATTTCATGTCAGAAATACACTCGGAGGGGTTAACATTTCCTGCAGAGGGGCGATCGCAACTAAGAAATTTAGCTTAATTTTTTATTTAAATTAATTTTGTATAACTTTTTGGATGTTAGTACGACAACAGGATTTGAACACGAGCCTCCCGAAGGCGCAGGGCATAGGCTAACCACTCAGCTACCGCGGCTGCCTCATCTTTCTAACGGAGTGGAGGTCTCCCTCATCCTGTGCTTCCACCGGCCGGTACTGCATTGAAAACTTTGAAAGCTGGAGAAATCGCATCCATCCGGGCCACATGATCTAGCCAGTGCAGCGGCTGTTTCTAGAACTATGTCAATGTCGCTGAATATCTCTTTCAACTCATCATTCCATCGGCTGCGGTATTCGCCGTTGCCAATGCCCAAAGGACCGTAAATCTTACGCAAGAACTTTCTCTCGAAAACTCCTAAAGCCGACTCATCAGATGTTGTCATCGTCCACACTTCCCCACCATCTAGCAGGACGAGAACGAAAAGCGGCTTATAGACTTGGTTTTCGTTCGTCGAGAGAGGACTGTCAGTTGCCTCCTCAGTCCAAAGGGGCACCTGTTGACAAGAGTGATTATGCGTTGGATTTCGAAGCTGACATGGTTCTTGGTGTTAATATTAGTTCCAAGATAGACAAATTTATCTGCGAAGAAGCCGATGCCTACACCATATCATAAAATTATGGGTTATATCGATTAGATTACTCATACGCCGTGTCAATTGGAAATAAAAAATTTTAAATTAAAAAAAAAGTAATGCTGACAGACTCTGTTCAAAATTCTAGGGGGCAAATACCTAGCTTATATCATCTTCCAATCAACAATTGTTGAAATTATAACTCATAAACATACATACACAGTTAAATGCTTAAGTACAGTAGACTCAAAACTCTTCAAGTAAATCAAACTGCCAAGAAACTCAGAAAATTTTCCAACAATTTATTTGAAGTGAAATAAAATTATATTAGTATTATTACAGATGAGTTGATTGCATGAAAAATGGCTTACCAACACCATGGCGCCTAAGCAATATTCAGTGCATTAACATCTGAATCACGCGCCATTTATTGTATTCGGTTTGTATTGTATTTAAGTATACACGCATATCCACATATTTATGCATATTTCGCTTTGTTTTGGTTTATGACTATTTTATTGAGTCAAGTGACCCATGCCATGCCATCATAATTAGCAGTAACCAAGCAAAGTTTTGCGTGGGTAGGGAAATGTTTACATATTTGCAAATGTAGGAATTTGAGAATAACAAAGAAAAGTTAGTTGCACGAGTGTATGTATATACATATGTACACGTATGTATGTGTCGAAGTAAATAAATGTGTTTTTTTACTATATTATTATTCATAAATTCGCAAAATACTTAAGTGCAACACACATACACATACATACACACACACACCTTCACCTTCACATAGAAGCATACTTTTGATGAAGTGCCATAGCCACTCTTCATTTAAGTCAAATTTCATAGTCTTAAGCACACTCTGACACCAACAGACATATACTCAAACAAACACACATATATACATGCCAATGCACATATGTATAATGTAGTGCTATGTAAATATACATTAATTTATATGGCAACGCGAGTCAGCAAACCGCCGAGCGACTGAGTTTTCTCTCATTTTTTGAAAGCGTTAAAAACGAATCGATACGAAATTTCCACGCATGTCGCTGCCCCTCACATATACATATATATACATACATATATATATATATATATATATATGTTTGTATGTAGTAAGTCCTGCCTCACGGCAGCTTGTCACGCTCATGCACTATTACTGTATGTACATATGTATGGGTGTGTGCATATATTTTGAAACAGCAATGAAAGAAATATGAACAATATCATACTGCAAGCTAAGGAAGTTGACGTTGAGGCTAAGTAAATATTTAAATATGAAATATACGTATTTGTAATACATATATACGTATATATTTAATATGTTTTCGACACAAATGTGCTTAATGTTTCATTGCCGCAAAAGCTAGTGGCTGCGTAGTTTATTGAGTCGGCCTGGCCTTCAGCCTCCAACTACGCCCCAAAAGTTTTATTATTGTTATTATTGTTATTGTTTTTTTTTTTTTTTGCTTAGCACGTGAGTGTAAAAAGTTCATAATTAAAAATATAATATCGCTTTTTCTTTAATTACTTACGCTTACGTATCTTTTTACATATAAATTTTTTTTTTATAAGCAAATTTTAAATTATTCTCTTCAACTCACTGCAATAATGCGATTTTGTCTTACTTGCTTTGTTCCTTCTACTATTTTGCCTTTTGTCAAATTATTGATTAATTTTTCCGTTATATTAGTCACCACTACACATTATAGTATCAATAGGCGGAAAGTCATGTGGCTGCAACGGCGACACACATATGTAGGAGCGCACACACAGCTACACAACGGTTTAAATACATTGGCAATTGCAAAGTACTTAGTACTGGGCGGCACGTTTTATATGTTGCAATTAGTCGTTATAAGCCAGACGAAATTAGAGGCGAGTTAAATATGGCTTTTTTGTTGTATTTTTAGAAACACACCGTGGAATGTTGAAAATAAGAAGTCCATACATTCCTATAATACATTCATATGTATACATATACCAATTACCAATGCACATGCACACGTACGCCGAATGCATTGCAATTGTGTGACCTAAATATTTTGTTAAACACATTTAATGCTTTTCTCGTAAATTTTGTACAAAATTTGCATTCATTACTCCTTTTGAACTCAGCTATTTTTTATTTTTAAATATTTTTCAAATAAAATTTTCACTTTTTCGCCCGAATTCTGGCAAAAAAAAAAAGAAATGCATGCTCACGCCTTGCATTTCATTATTTTTTCATTTTTCATCAATCGAATTTTCTTTCTTTCGATATTTTCCAATATAATAACCAAAAAGAAATTGCCGTTGCACAAAACGGGCGTTTACCTTTTTCTTATAAATTTGCTAAATTTGATTTTCACTATCGTCTCGTTGCAATTCGTGTTGATTTAGTATATTTTTTATTTATATTTATTTTCTTTACTGCTATTAAATTAATATTTCACAATATCTTATAGTTTTTTCTTTGTGTCAGCAGCTTTCTCTTACTCCTAAAGCACTACTTTTCTCATTCTCTTTTAATTAATGAATGATTGCTAGAATGTATCCGTTATTATTTCGCGACAAGTTAACGCTCCTTGGCAATACAATGCATTCTGATTTGTTCTTTGACGTTTGAAATATTCGCAAGTTCCTGCGAATCCGTGTTCTACTTTCTTTCGTCTCTTGCTTGAGTACACAAGCTAATATACATATATACTCGTACGCCAAGGAGAGAAATGAGAGAATAACGCACATGTGCACAGTTCCTAGTGTTGTGAGACCCGTACGATTAAATATTGCAAAAGATGTTTTGAAATCTGTACAGCAAAGAGCGAGCGTCGACAAAGAGCGATGTCGAAAAACTGCTATCCCTAGACTTTGGCTCCTGCTCTCTGAAAGCACTCACCAGCAACTCGGTGTAAGGGAACTGTGGTAAGGCATTTAAACTCCATACGTACAACTGCAAACGAAACTATAGATTTTCGGAATGGTCGAAAAGCAGCTGCTGCGATGAGGATTGTCGTGCGGCAGTGGACAGAACACAGTCTGCCTATCTCCCAACATTACGATCGAGCAAGTTCGGAGTGGGGTAGATGTCGAGACTTGACCACAAATAAAGATGCCCAGATGCATGAGCATGAAGAGCTTAAGAACTTCGCTGACAGGGATAATGCACGAGAATTCGATGAAAAAATTCGAAGGTTTACATCGGAAAGTTTCAAGAAAGATGCAAACACTTTTAGAACCGACAGACCTGATCTGGTAACTGCTGATCAAAGTATACTGAATTTATGGAGGAACAGATGTTGCGAGGATTTTTGCCTTTTTTTCACAAAGAATTTCTTCCACCTGGGCAAATCGTAAATCTACTATCGGCAAGTACTCGCAAGAATGCGAAAACGAGTCGGCAGGGTTGTGCCCACACACCGCACGTAACTTTTATAACCTTTATCACGACAACTCGCCGTGAAACACCGCACTCAGCGTGTCCCAGTATTTGGCTTCTGAAGGAACCGCAGTGTTGCAACAACCACCTGATTCGCTTGATATTTCACCCTGTGACTTCTTTTTGTTCCCTAGAACAAAATCGGTGGTCAAGGCAGACCCTTTTTGAGTCGATTCAGGACATCCAGGTCGCAATAAAATGGCATTATCGACGGATTATTGCCTCCAAGATAGACGAATTTATCTATGACTTCAAAGTTTTACCTATTAATAGCGACGTGGGATCCGAGATGCGAATGCGATGACCTTTTCTTAATGACAGGAGATATTTCGTCTTGTCCCAGCTCTCAACCATACCGATACCCAATAGATTAAAAAAGTCAAATGATATGAAACTTCGTTTGGCATCGTTTTGTTTCGTCGAAGATACCACACATTCCGACGTGGAAGCAGCCCCTTTTCGTGCTGTCAAAGGCTGCTTTACAGTCGATATCGAGATGGTGTGTATCGATCCTCTTTTCACTTGTCTGTGTATATATGGTCAATGGTTAATTTACCAGCTGTAAAGCCAGGCTAATAAGCTCCAATCAGTTTGTTGGCGATAGGTTTTAGTCCTTCACATAGTACGGTTAATGGCGCAGACTGTGGGAGTTCTCTTTTTGTGAATTTTGCAACTAAGCTTGCGCAGGCACCTTATCCGTTGTTCACCGCCTCATTTGAATAGCTCGGCCGACAATTCATAGTTTCACGCTACTGTGTTGTTTTTCAAGCTGACAATTGCTGTCGGATAATGATATATCTATTCCATCGTCATCATTTTGGAAACTACCCGAGTTATGTATATTGAAATTATTTTTTTTTTTAATATTGCATTTTTAAGAACTTTATTAATACATTTTTAAGAATCATAAAACGAGGTACTTCCAAAAATATATCAAGCGAAGCTCACCACTAAGAACAATAGGACAAATATGGCAATGAAAAGAAACCTTCGGAAACTGCACTAACTGAGATGAGACCCTGTATATTTTTCCAACAATTGGTTCCTTCCACTCATATATCTGTGCAAAAGACTCGCAAACCTCGTTTGCTCGCGGGATTAACAACGCACACGTGTAGTTGTTGCTCATGGACCAAAACAAAAATACAATATATCAATTGTTGGCACTAAATGTCATAAGGCGTAGCTCAACGAAGAGAATTCACTCAACAATTTCCACTCAAAGGACATGCGCTTTGGCGTGTATGGAAAGAGGTCCTACGAGTTTGTTGCTCTCGTTACGTTTGGCATAATTTTGTTTTAAACAGCATGAATTAAACTGAATAAAGTACACTTCGTTAAATTTAAATGCACTAGGGTGACACTGTCAAGGGACTGTTGCAAATGAATGGTATACAATTTTTTAATTACACTTTTAATTAACGTAAGAATTTGCAAAGTTTATGTATAAAAATAGAAACCCATTAAATGCATTTAATTGGTGATGAGGCAAGAATTTAGTTCATTAAACGCGTTAGTTAGAATTAATTAATATAATTTTTTGCAATACTAGCGCATCCGGCGAGCTCTGCTTTGCCTCAATTTCACGCATTTGGACTCCAGAGTGTTAATAAAGCATACATCAATGGTTCCAATTCTTAAGTGATTTACGTGAATTGAATCGAAGTCAGTAGAGAGAAACATCCTAGTAGCCAACTAGTTTTTCGGCAGAAGAACGAGAGCTTTGAGTTTTTCAATCAGTAATCAGCCAAGTAGTTAAATAAATTTTCTTGCGCTGGAAACTAGTCCAACACTCAACCATATTTCAGTTCCTGGCGAAATTAATTAAACTTAATGCATTTGGGAATGTGTTTCGTTGTGGAGGTTGAATTTTCCAGCAGTTGTGCCGAACGTACCTTCTTTGCACACCCTGGCGTTAGAGTCTCCAAGCTCGATTTTCAAAACGTGACGGGGACAACGCTCATGAGTACGCTCCAGCCGCTAACAAAAAGTATCCTTGGTCCCATCATCATTCTTCTCGCTTTAATGCGGATTATGGCAAGACAAACGTCTACCTGGGGCACTGGGGAGACTCGGCGACAATGTAGTATATGTACAACTACTCTTCCTAACCTTTCCAGACTTTTTCCGTTCATCTTACTTCTTGGACGATGCTGATATCATCATTTATGTTTGCAGTGGTCGTCATCAGAAGGCAGGTATCTCATCCGAGCCGTTACTAACTTTTTTATTGGAGCTAGTTTCTTCGTGGCGTGTCCCAAGCCCAACGATCTGCTTTCTTCAAGCCTACTCGCAGCAGCACCTCTGGTGAAAAGAGTCTGTAATTAAACTTCAGCGAATCCTTGTACCGAATAAGTCGGAGTGGTCACACTGAAGCTTTCTCTATTCTTGCCGTGAACCAAGGCTCCTCACGGGTTGGTAACCCCCATCACGTTTCCAGATTGCTTGACGTGGACGCAAGAGTATGAATTGAGAATTGCTCCGTGACTGTAACTGCATAAATAGAAGCTTGACTACACCCCATTTTCTAAGGACCCAAAATCGAATTACCAAAATATATATCTTTAAGGCTCATGTGTGTGTGTGTGCTTATCATGCTATTAACTATACTTCAATTAAGGAATTTGAGTTGAGAAAATAATAGTTTTTCAAACAAAAATTAAGCGTTGCTTTTGTTGATGTTGACATTTCATTCAGCAAAACAAGCTTATGTGTCGGTCGCCCGTACAGCTATTCCCACGCAACTTTACCATAAGTCAACGTGCGCTTAGTATACATACATATGTACGTAAATACTGCTTCCACATATAATATTATATATTACATACATACTCGCTTGAGTGCGGTGCACTGAATTTACTGGCGTTGCGTTTGGACTTAAAAAGCGTCAGGTTTTCGGCAACTATTCAGATACATATCAGATTCGGTTAAGTGCAGAACGGCAGGCAAATAAGCGCCCATTAAATGTGAAAATTAATTGACGCAAATCAACAGAAATCAAAAATTGTCTATGATCGAAAGTGAATAATTAAATATTGAAATAAACAGTTAAATTATAAAATAAAAACAGTAATAATAATTAAAATTAAATCATATTATAAATTAAATAGTTTCTTAAATGCTCAAACAATTATAATTACTATCGTCAACTAAAAAAAAATATCGCTCAGAAAGAAATCGTTATCTTTTTGCTCAAACCCAGATTTTCCTATTGCAAGCAAAATTGCCGCAAGATTGATTGTGTCCTTATAAACTGAACGGTTTCAAAAGGAGTTATCCAAAGTTGAGCGATATTTTGATCGTGAAAATATGGATAAAAAAAATATTATTATTTCCTGAGTGACATTTTTTCACTCACAATATTAATTATTAATGCTTGAGTGTTTAAGTAAATTTCGAAAATAATCATTATTAACCAATTAAAGTTCAAAAATAATCATGCAATGATAATTTACTGGATATCTTAAAATAGAACTCAAGTAGTATTGAATTCCTTTTTCTCGTGCTACTTTACTAAGTAGATAATTTTTTTTTTTCATTAAAGGAAGTATAGATAATAATTATTTGAAGTCCCTGATAAAATCATATCTAGTGACCGTTATGTTCAATTTGAGTGTTTTGTGCAGTGCTCTGTGGATTCTAGTGTCTTTTCTGTGTTTAACTAATGCCTTCCCAGATGGCGCGCCTGCTGATACTTGTGTAAAGCAGCGTGCCAATCAACCGAATCACGGCAAAGCGCGTACACAACCGGGACAAACAAATCCTTATGAAGTTGTTGCCGATTCGGAGACTTTCCATCCTGGGCAACCTATTTCAGGTATTTGGAAATAAATATAAAAAAAAGTTGCAAGTAAATACAATATGTTATTTTATTTAATTTCTTATTTTATATGATTTTATTTCTTTTTACTTTTTTTGTATTTCTACCTTATTTTTTTTTAATTTATATTGTTTTCTTTTATTTCATTTTATAATTTTTTTATATTTTATTTAATATTTTGTTTTATTTTATTTTTAACTTTTGTTTTGACTTCAGTTATATTTAACGAAATACAGTTGACTTTTATTTTATTTTACTTTAATTGTTATTATTTTATTTTATTTTATTTTATTTTATTTTATTTTATTTTATTTTATTTTATTTTATTTTATTTTATTTTATTTTATTTTATTTTATTTTATTTTATTTTATTTTATTTTATTTTATTTTATTTTATTTTATTTTATTTTATTTTATTTTATTTAATTAATTTTTTTTATTTTGCTTTATTTTACCTCATTTTATTCCAATTTGATTTATTTTATTTGGTTTTGTTTTATTTATTTTATTTTATTTGATCTTATATTATTTTTATATTTTGTTTTATTTTATTTGAGTTTATTTAAAGTTTTAATTCATTTTATTTTGTTTGTTATTTTATTTCAATTTATTCCTTTTATTTATTTTATTATGTTATTTTAATTTATCTCATTTATTCCACTTTATTTTATTTGATATTTTTTTTATTTTATGCTATTAAATTTTATTTATTTTATTCTATTTTACATTACTCTGCTCTAATTTATTTTAATTTTGTATTTTATTTGCTATATTTTCCCTTTTATTGAATTTATTTTAATAATCTATTTTATTAATGTTTATTTTAGTATTTTATTAACTGATTTTATTTCATTTCACTCTTTATTTTATTTATTTGTGCATATTATATTCAATTTTCATAACGTTCGTCTTTACAGTTACTATTTACTCTAACGATCAAAAGTCCACTTTTCGCGGGTTCTTCATACAAGCTCGCGATGCCCATTCAAATGAATGGATCGGCGAATGGGTACAAAGTGAAAATACCAAAACCATTCCAGAATGCTCGGCAATAACACATTCGGACAATCGGGACAAGTTGGGCGCGAAGCTATTTTGGAAGGCACCACAAAATAAACGGGGTCGTGTTTACTTTACGTGAGTTATGGTTTTTTGCCCAAGCAATTTTTCCTTTTTAATTGCAGCGAGTAGGAATTCAGACAGATGTTGAGATAGTAATGAGCACTCATGCATATTTACATATATATAAATATGTATGAAATATTCACACACGATACGGCAAAATGACACAAGGATGTGATCTATGGAAATTCTTTCCTCAAGCGATGTCTGGTTCCTCGAAAGTTTTTATGACTCAAATATTCAGGCAATTCATCTCAAATTAACTCTTTGAATAGCCCTATAAATAAAAAAGTTAAAAAAGTAGTCAAAAATGTTATTATGCAATTAGGCAAATAAACCCAGATATGTACGTACGTACGTACATATAAGTGAACAAACAAGCACTTAAAATCTGTCAACTGGCACTCAAAATAAGAACAAATTAATGGCCAACGCGCACTCATTCATATAAAGCCCACTAAGCACTCAAACGAGTAAGTCTATTTATCGACTATTTTTGTAATCGAAGTATTTAAAAAAAAGAGTAAAAACCAAAAACAAACAGAAATCGTAAAACATGGTTAATGAATCAAGCAATAAATATTTTATGTTGTGCAATATTGGTAAACACTATTTGCCATTTTACCATTTGCTGCAAGATTTGCCGGCTCACTGCACGCAGACTCTATGTTATTTGGCTGTGGCTGTGGCCGCTGCTGCTGCTAATGCAAAAGGTAAGTAGGTCAACATAGGCCGGTTATCTTGTCTCGCATGTTCCAGCATTATGGGCATATATGAATTTGTAAGCACCAGTATTTATATATTACAATGCAAAAGTGTGCAGGTCTACCAAAAAGGAAGTTTCCTTCTTATTTAGAAAAATGAAAAAAGAATTTGACGTTTTGTTTTTCACTTAATTGCAAAGGCAGCTCAGAAAAATATAAAAAAGAGCCAAGTCATGACTCAATTGAACACATAGTAATTCGTCTCATGCTAACATAGGGTTATCCATTTCATGATTTTGAAAGTACAGGGCTATATATTGACATCGGTCCAACTAGACTGTCTAAGCACAACACGTTAATTGTTAAGATCTGCCTCAAAGTTGGTAATTCAAACGCTGCCCCATTTCGTGCTTTAAGAGGAGATTATAGTTCACATATTCGTCCAGCTACTCAGGCAATTAGTAAAGTTTTAAAGAACCTTTGGGAGACTGTAGCGCAAGGTCTCTGCATCATCGTTTTGCTCGTTTAACCCCAAATATTGCCACTGTAAATGAAATTGAAGCCAAAGACCGGAACGTGTGTATTTCTCGACGTTCTCAAGAGCTGAGACCTTCTTACGGCACATTATGAGGTATTTAGCACTTGGACTTATACCCACATCCATGTAAAATAAAACTCAGACAACAACTGATGTCAGTTGTCCACTCACAACGCTTTACATACATACGTCGATTGGATGCTGGAATAGCAACAGTGGACAGACGTAAATAAGCGAAATCGTCACATTTGCTGCTTTGAAAATTCTCAAACAGTTAAAGAGAGGTCATTACACTCACAACAAAAACTTACTGTCTGATGCGCTCTTTGGTCCGGAGGAGTGGTTAGAGCTTAGTTCTTTGAAAATGACAAAGATGAGACTGTCACTGTCAATTCGAAGCCTTATGGTCGTATTATAACCGACTTTTTTTGCCTGCAATTGAAGATGAGGATTTGGACAATATGTGGTTTCCCCAAAATAGTACCACATGCCACAGAACATAAGGGAATATGCCTTTATTACGAGAGAAATTTCCCTGCCACGTAATCTCTTGTATTTGCGATTTCATTTAGGCACCGAGATTGTGCGATTTGATATTGTTGGGATTTTTTTTTTTGTGGGGCTACGAGAAAGAAAGTTTTTTTATGTGGACAAACCTTTAACTCTGGATGAAATATCGCCCAAAATGAGCAAAAATGGTCGAAAATTAACTCAAGCCTATCAAAGTTTGTGAAAATTCGCAGACGGTCATTTGAATTAAGTACTGTTACTCATATATTGCCAAGGAAAACCTTGTAGCGAAAAAAGAATTTCATGAAAGAATTATTGTGCAAAGTGGATAACCCTGTAAAATCCCGAATGCGAATTTTACTATGAAATATTCTTTAGCATGCTGTAGCTGCGCTCTCCTATAAACATCTGCTCCATATTGAAATTAATTTGTTGATTAAAAACTTGTTAACAATTTCCTGCAAATTAATCAAAATCGATTTATTTTTCTTTTATTTTCAGTGGCACGGTATTGAAGGAATACAACACGTTTTGGAGTGACGTTGTGGCAAAAGTGCTAGCTGCGCAATGAGCAGACAAAGCTGGCAGTAAGGCATTACATACTTCTCGAATGCTCGTCCATTGCTGATAAAAAGAATTAGAAATGCATAATTTTTTTTACTTAAAGCATGTTAATGATTCATCTAAACAAATAAAGACAATCGAAAAATTTGAAGCTTTAACTTCCATCGGTTTCAGGTTTTCTTAAAATGTTTATCAATTTTTATTTCTTCACTTGTTAAAACAATTTATTTTACTCAGAAGGCTTTATTTTGAAAATAAGGACAGTTGTTTTAAATCTCGCGGGGATGCCGATTGTGAAATTTTTTTTTTATATTATCCCTAGTTGGATATTAAACTTTTTCTGCGACAGCCATTAACGTTACAAGTGTTTTTATGAGCTCGTCTATGTTTGTTTGTGTGAAGTGTTTACAGAGTCTTATGGTTAGTCTGCTATGAGTAAGAGCTTACGCGTGGGTTAATATTTTCCAAGCAGGTTGTGAAGACGTTGAAAATGTTAAACACCCTGGGCTCTGCAGCATTTCAACAAGGTATGAAACGTGGATAAAATGAAAGAAGGTATTGATTGACTGTTAGATCACGAGCAGAGATCTCGCTGATGATATTGGCATATCTATTGGGTCAGTCAGACTTTCTCCTTCCCAAAGTAAAGAGAACCTTAACGGGCCGTCGTTTATAGTCATGGATAACATTACAAGATCTTCACTGAAGGAATGAAAAGTTTAATTAAGAATCGAACCTCAGAATTGTTACGGGGACTAGAAGAAGGGATGACGTAAATAACTTTCAAGCGGAGACTATTGTGGAAGCAACAATATACATTTCGTAAACTAAAAACCAGTATTAAAACTTTCTGGTGCTTTGAATGTGCTTCAAAAACAATGATGTTCTAAAGCTCATCAAATTGAAAGAAAGTTTTACAAGTTAGTATTTGGTCAAACTAACGGTTAAAAGCTTGCCAACAGATGTGCAATTGAAAAGTAAAGTGTTTTCCCGACGAACGAAAACCTAACTCTACAAGTCCCTCATCGTTCCCGTCCTGCTATAGATTGCGGAAGCATGGCCGATGACAACATCTGATGAGTCGATGTTAGGAGTTTCCGAGAGAAAGGTTTTGCCTTTGCGCATTTGCAATGGCGAATACCGCAGACGATGGAACGATGAGCTGTATGAGTTATACGGCGATATTGACATGGTTCAGCGAATCAAGAAGCAGCGGCTACGCTAGGTCCTGCGATCCGGATGGATGCGAATACTCGAGCTTTAAAAGTTTTAGGTGCAGAGGTGAAGAGGAAGACCTCCACTTCGCCGGAAAGACTAGGTAGAGAAGGATCTGACTGTACTTGGTATTTCCAATTGGCGTTAAACAGCAAAAAGAAGAAACGATTGGCGCGATGTTGTTAAATCGGCTAAAATCGCGTAAGCGGTGTCTACGTCAGTAAAATAAGTTAGTAACGGTTAAAAGCTAATATTTCACCACTTTCAAAGATATCGGGCTTCATATGTTCTTGAGAATTTTAATTCCTTCCTGAAATTAGGCGTTTTTGCTGTAATGACCTCTTCATTCTGTGATTACCATTCAGTCTCTTACCTCCAGCCATTTCTTCAGATTAGGAAACAAGAAATAGTCGCAGGGGTTAAATCTGGGCATATACTGAATAAAATTTGCCAGTGACCGTTTCGCCCTTTTCAGGATAATCGATATGACAGCTCGTACATCTAAAAAAAAACTGTGACCATTGTCTTTCTAGCGCTTCTTTGGACTTGATTTTTTACTGGTCTCAGGTGTGGTGCAAAAATTCGTAACCATTCCTAAACCATTTCTTTCTTTGGTTACGGTGACCCTTTGCACTCGGGACCTTTTTCCCGCGGCGCACCAGCAACTCGAAGCAGTTCGTAGCGTATTTAGTTAATTTCTCACCTCTAATTTAAAATGATTACATACATAGAGTAACACATAAAACTTGTATATTTAAATATTTAATCTATAGTATAAGTATCACATTCACTGTCTATTACTCGGATCTTTCGGCTTCTGACACCTCTCACTTCGTCACTACCGTTACTACTGCTGTTATTCTCTATATCTTAAAGCTCTCTATGTACAACCGAAATTTCTTCGTTAATCATAGTGAAATCGAACTCATCTTCACTGTTCACTGGATCAAAAACTTTAAATTCTATAATCTCGTGGTTGGGGACTAATCCCAGATAAGAAAAACTTATCTCCATTTCCTTTTATACTTTATAAGATTATATAAAAAGAGCGTCGAGAACTCGCGTCGAAGAAAGTAAACGAAAGCAGTTAGTTCCGCATATTTAGTTACCGCAACAAACCAAGTGATGAGCGATAGTCACCTCTCTAGTTGCCATAGCACCCCACATGGTGAGTGAGAGTCACCTCTCGAGGGCAAATGGTTAATAATCTCATTGGCTCTCAAGCTCAAAGCTAAATGGCGCAGCTTACTCATTATTTGACAGCGGTCTGTTAATCGATAAAAGTTGACGAGAGCAGTTTTGTATTTAAAGTAGCTGTGCGGCAATTCAAAAAGTCACTGCAGCCCTCGTATTTATACTTTTTATTTTTTTTTTTCTACATTTTTTTTTGTATTCTTAAATTTTTTCCATGATATGAACATTTATATATATATATATATTAATTTTGTTTTTTCTAAAGGAAATAAATGGCATGGAAATTTTCCTTGGAATATTAAAATATTAAATTTGATGCGCATATTATTCAAATTGGCGGCCGTTACAGCGCCTCCTTACTTACTACTTTAAAAGTAAACTGAAACATCGAAAAGTAGGAAAAGACAAAACCAAAATGCAAATCATCAATCCTCAATGTAACAAATAAATTTGTGTTTCCCAAATAAAATTAAAACTTCTGCTTGCTACAATAAAGAAACTATAGAATACGTTGGGCAACGTTTGAAAGGAGCAACCAATAAGCAAAGTTTCACTCCCAATTAAGCTCATATGTCACTTGGTTGAAATTTATTTTAGCTTTTTGTTGTAAACATATATAGTATACAAACACAAAAAGCTTTTCAATAATCAATAAAAAGCTTCAGTGGCTGCAAAACTGTTCTAACAATTAACTCATAGCAAAGGAAAGACAAGTTACTTATTTTCCAATATAAATTAAAAAAACGAAAAAAAATATTAAAAATTATTTTTCTTCAAATATTAATTATTACAGTCTTTTTAATCTTTCATTTTTCATGTATGTGCATTAATAACAAATTTTTTTATAATTGAAAAATATTAAAAGAAACATCAGATATTTGGTATTATCATCTGGCATAGAAACAGAAAATCAAAACCTCACATGCAGTTGCCTACATTTATACTTCAATTGCTTTATTTCTATCTGTCCATTACATGACGTGATTAAAAAATATTTATTATTTATAGTCACTTTCTAAGATTAAATAGTTCAAAATGGTCATTAAAATCGCCGCTGTCAAGCAAAGTTGTCCGGAAGAGGTTGGTTTAAGCCAGTTTCTATATGACAATATAAATACAGTACAAGTTATTGAGGTGTAAGGGTGAAAAATATTATTTTGAAAAAAAAAATAAATCTGCATGCGTACATATGCGGTCTTATCAGTAGCTCGCACTATGTATTTGCCGAAAGCTGACTTGTTTATGAAAGTATTTACAAACAAAACTGCTTTGATACAAATCCATAGTAAGATTGAAAGAGCATCACAATTTCAAACGTATTGTCTATGCATTATTAGGGTTGTAAATAATTACCAGCCATATTCAAGTAACTTTCGGGGTATAATCTTGAGGGAATATTTTTTTCTAATTAATAAGTAGGCCTTCCATCATTTAATTTTTTTAGCTTTTTCAATACCATATGGGTATTAACATAGAATGGTCTACCGGGAACAAAGACTAACCATGAATTGATTGCGCACCACGTTTACTCTAACGGATAATAGGCTCCGTAGGCGATGTTACTGCTATATGGAGCAGAGTGTTCCAACAAGACGGCGTTACATGATATACAGTCAACACAGCAATCAATTTTTTGAACGTACGTTGTTTTGAGCATATTATTTCTCATCGTAGACTTCCAAGATCGTGCGATTCAAGACCGCTGGGCTATTTTTGTAGGTGCACGTGAAATCGACTGTGTACGCAGATAAATCCGTTACGGCCACATTTGCTGAAAACATAGTCGAAAGTTGGACATCTTGGCTGTAATTTATTTGAACTGAGTTTATGGAGAGAACACTTCCCCAGATGATGAATGGCAGTGAAAGTGTAGCACCCGATTCCTTAATCGATGACCACGGAACAAATATTTCATCGACCGCTTGAGAAACAACATAGCGGCGGGATCCAATGGATTTCCGGCCGAGCCATTCAAGTACGTAGGTGAAGAACGGATAAAGTGCCTGCATCAGCTTCTTTTCAAAATATGGTCGCATGACAGCATATCCGACGATTGGAATCTAAATGTGCTCTGCACAATCCACGATAATGGTGATCCCACATTCTGTGCCAATTACGGTGGCATATAAGGTTCTATGGAGCGTATTGTGTGAAAGACTAAAGCCCCCATCAGACCTAAAAAAAAATCAACCATTGGCCAGATATTCATCATTCGTCAAATCTTAGAAAAGACCTGTGAAAAGATGAGCTGCCTCTATGCCGCTATATCTCAGTTTGGTATCCCCGCAAAACTTATATATTGACATTATTGTCCTCAACAACCGCGCCGTGAGTTCAGCTTTCTCTAGACTGAGTAAGAAAGGGTAAGGTTTGATAGTGAATACGGATAAAACGAAATATCTCTTGTCATCAAACAAATAGTCATTGCATTAGCGTCTCGGCTACCACGTCCCTGTTGACGGTCATAACTTTGAAGTCGTAGATAACTTCGTCTATCTTGGAACTAGCTTTAATACCAACAACAATGTCAGCCTGGAAATCCAACGCAGAATCACTCTTGGCAACAGATACTACTTTGGACTGAGTAGGCAAGTAAAAAGTAAATTTCTCTCTCGGCGAACGAAAACTAGTCCCTTATCGATCCCGTCCTACTATATGGTGCGGAAGCATAGACGATGACAATATCTGATGAGTTGGCGTTAGAAGTTTTCAAGAGAAAGGTTTCGCGTAAGATTTACGGTATTTTACGAGTTGGTAACGGCGAATACCGCTGACGATGGAATGATGAGTTGAAAAAGATATACGGCGACATTAACATAGTTCAGCAAATCAAGAAACAGCGGCTACTCTGGCTAGGTCATGTAATCCGGATGGATGCGAATACTCCAGCTGAGAAAGTTTTCGATGCAGTACCGGCTCGTGAAAGCAAAGGAAGAGGAAGACCTCCACTCTATTGGGAATACCATGTAGAGAAAGACCTGGCTATATTGGACCACACTAACGTAAATACTACTGAAAATACAACTGCACTTCAAGTTAAAATCGCCTACAAAACTTATCGATTGGAACTAAAAACCTAGACAGTTAATTATTAAAAAAAAATTGCTATGAGTACATTTTTATTTGGCTAGTGTGCAATTATTATTAATAACATTTTATAAATAATATTTTTTATAATAATAAACAAATTAATGCATAATCTCCTGCATTACAATAACAATATACAAAGTTAACAAATAACTCGTTATTATCAATACCCATCAACATCATGACGCTCAGCCGTCATACGTACCTACATGCATACATACATACACGCTTTTAAGCCGAGCGATCTTGTTGTCATGTAAAGTTCCACATTCATCATCCCACTTTCATTCAAAGCGAGCTTAAATTCACAAACTCAAATCTGGTTTTCGTTATCGCCTCGCTCACACCAATTCGTACATTATGTATATATGTAAGTACATACATATGTATGTTTATATCGTACATAAATTTTGACTTATCTTCCAATGTTCGCATGCCAAATATTTCAGTCTCAAGTCGTAGCCGCTTCAGCGTGGTTTATTTCGTTTTACTTCTCTCCGCCAGGCTTTCGTGCGCACAAAGTGAATAGCAAAATATTTTTTAATCCCTTTCTAAGTATAAATAGTTCAAAATGGTCATTAATTTTGCCGCTGGTCCAGCTAAATTACCGGAAGAGGTTAGTTTAAACCGGATTGATTTATTTATAAAAAAAAATATAGATGTGTTTGTCTAATGGGTGCAAAATATTTATTATAAAATAAAATAAAAGTTTATTATGCGTGTTTTTTTTGTCTTATCAATGCTGCGCCGGGAAGTTTGCCGTAAACCTGACTTAACAAATTCGTCTAGTTTATGCAAATATTACTCGCGCCACTTTTGTACTCAAAGTAAATATGTACGTAATGATATGAAGATGGCATGCCAGCTGGAAGTGAGTTAGTTAAATTTTCATTATTAGGGTTGTAAGAAATCGTTTGGACTACAAAAATTAATTTTTATTAAAATGCAATATTTAGAAAATATACCTTCAAATCTTTTCTATGAAACTCAATTCAAAACGAGTTTATACTCGTACACACATACATAAATGGCGCTTTTTAACCAAATGGAGGGACCTACAGTTTATTCTGAGCCGTCAACGAACGTTCAATGGTTTTTATTTATTTTTATTATATCATATTTTTTTATTTCATATCAAAAATACACTCGGAAGAGTTTACATTTTTTGCCGAGGAGCGACCGCAATTGGAAAAATTAATTAAATTTTTTATTTAAATTAATTTTCTGTAAATTTTAAATATTGCCCGAATCAGGACTCCATCCCTGGCCTTCTGAATGGCAGTATGCAATGCTAACTATCGGCTACTGCTGCCGTCTAAGTCGGGCTTATCGGCGCCGCATACAACAATTTCATTACTATAATGAAAGCAAATTAATTAATTATGTGATGCTACGACGCTACGCTTGAAAATGTCAACCGTACGAGTACACAAAAAATTAGCCGAGACAGCAACCCTAAGTTGCACTTGTGGGATAAGGGCGGGTCTAGGTGAGGCAATATTTTGAAACTTCTCCCGAGAGCCAGAATACCAAAAACACTCACCACCGTGGCCGTGACTCGTGTTTCATTACCTTAAAAGCAACTTAAGCGAGCTAAACGTATCAACGTAACATCAACGCAAAAATTAGCGGTTTTTTCTTTAAATATACGTAAAAATATTTATAAAATACAGCGGTTGCAAAATTCTATTCAGTTTACATCAACACAGTGGTGCCATTCGTCTGTCTGCTACGATGTTTATACACACATCTGCATGGGTAAACCAAAAATAAAAAGTCTAATCGTAAGTGTTTGCAGTATAAGTCTCATGTAGTACTTACATGTGTGACCTGTCCAAACAGAGTGGAACGTATGAGCTGAGAATAAATGTTGCTTAGCTATAAGCACTCTAAGCACTGAGAAATTTATAATAGATTTATGTTGTAACGAAAATAATTTTGACAGCCTTTAAAGCGCTCTTTAGATGATACAAATATTCAAAGTAAGACAAGGCTAGAAAAGCCAGCACAGCCAAATTGCATTGGGATAGGGCTTTTTTTTGCTTATCGTTGTTGGTTTGTCATTCTAATCTACTAATTACAACATATTTTCCTTTTTATTACTATTTTTCATAATATGCAGTTCACAATTCAAACGACAAACATTTATTTTAAGTTTTTTCATTCAGAAGGGTGTGGTTTATTTTGAGCTGCTTCCAGGGAGCTAAGCGATTAATTCGGAAGTCTACTGTGAACAACTGAACAAGTTGAATTTATCTATCCACGAGAAAGCGGCCAGAATTGCTCAACCAAGATAGCTAACCAAGACAATGCTAAACCGCGCACCGCATCCTCCATATAGCCCTTATCTTGCACCGTCTGACCAGAAGTTCAGAAAGATGGCCAAGAGTCAACCAACAAAATGGAAATTACGCAGACAGCTATTCAAGGTTTTATATCTGATGGTAATTTCGTGAAGAAAAAGGAAAACTGTGTCCTCATTCCTCCCAAAGGGCATTTTAAATGCATGTCCACCCTAGTTTGTGGTTGTGTTACAAGTCGACATACTATTTTATTAAACCTACAAGTTTATTGAGCGATTAGTCCTTATAAGAGTGATTTCCTTTAGCCTAATCTTCTATCTTCCAAACCTTCCAACAATAATAGAACATAATGAAATATTATCAGTTGTACAACTTTCCTTCCGCCGTTTTCCGATAGGTGGTTGTACCGGCTGAGCCTGGTTGAAATACATAGATGATAATGCCTTTAAAGTGAGTGTGGACAGTGCCTAACGAATTGTCATCGCCGTTTCAGTGACAATTGTCCTTGTTTTCGTATTATCCACGCTCGAAAATGTCCGTTTATGTGCCTAATTCTAGCCATTTGCGGGACGTATTACTTTTCTGTTACAATTCGAAAAAAAATGCAGCTGAAGCGCATCGAATGCTCTCAGAAACTTACGGTGTTGCTGCTCTGAGTGAAAGAACGTGTCGGGAGTGGTTTCAACGTTTTAAAAACATGGTGGTGGAAAAGAATCAGCTCGGGTGAAACCATCACAGGAGATCGCTACCGAACGCAACTGATGCGCCTTAGTCGCGCGCTAAAAGAAAAGCGGTCACAATATCAAGAGCGACATGAAAAAGTCATCCTCCAACACGACAATGCTCGGCCTCACATCGCAATAGTGGTCAAAAAGTACCTGGAAACGCTGAAATGGGAAGTTTTGCCCCACCCGCCGTATTCCCAAGATGTCGCCCCTTCTGACTTCCACCTATTCCGTTCGATGGCACACGGCCTGGTAGATCAACATTTTCAATCTTTCGAAGAATTGGAAAAATGGGTTGCTTCATGGATAGCGTCAAAAGAGGACTCCTTTTTTCGACCCGGCATCCGAAAATTGCCGGAAAGATGGTAGAAAGTTGTTGCTAGCGAAGGACAATACTTTGAATAATATATCCGTAAGCACTTTCTTCGCAATAAAGCTTTTAATTTTGGGAAAAAAACGGCGGAAGCAAAGTTGTACACCTGGCTGGCTGTATATGAATGCTTCTTCGTCCTCCCTCAGTTATCCAATATACCTCTTCAAAGCTTTTGTGTGCCTAGTACCACCGCTGTAATAATTCTAATTTGGTTCAGCAGACGAAAAGGTAATATTCTCTTACCATCCCTACCAAGCAATTCATTTTAATCCGTCATTATAGATTGGATGGTATCCTCCTTCCCTACTATACAACTTCTCCTGGAAGCAACTATTGTAATCTACGGTTGCAAGTATAAAGTCTGATTTATTTTAAGATATTGGGAGCAAATTCAGGATACCGGTATACCCGCTTTGATTTCAACAATTCACTTCCTTAGGTCGGATAGTGCATTGCCCCTCGGCGATTGTCCCTCAACAGGGAATATTAATAATTCATAAAGTAATTTTCACTTAAAATACAAATATTCAAAGATTTCTCAAAACTTTTATTTCTTTATTTCTTTTTTCCATATTAGAAATGAGTCTCTTCTGTGGTCTGTCTTATGATAAATACCTGTACCTCATGTCATAATTAAAACAAGGCCTTATTTCTGAGATTTCGTTTGAATCATTGGAATTGTAAAAGATTAAGGATGTATTTATCAATCTATTAATTTTTTTAATTTTCTTCTTTTTTTAGGTGCTGAAAGAAGCACAAACAAATTTGCTCAATTGCAATGGGACTGGGATCTCAGTGATGGAAATGTCTCATCGCTCCTCGAACTATGCAGCGATTCAAGAAACAGCTATAAATGATCTACGCGAACTATTAAGCATACCATCAAACTATAAAATACTACTTATGCAAGGCGGCGGCACTGGTCAATTCGCTGCTGTCTGTTTCAATCTCTTGGGACGCACAGGTGTAGCAGATTATGTGGTAACCGGCTCTTGGTCCGCCAAAGCAGCAAAGGAGGCCGAGCAATATGGCAAGGTGAACTTGGTAGTACCGAAGGTAGCAAAATACACTGCTGTGCCCACGCAAGATACCTGGAAACTCGACCCAAATGCTTCATACATTTACTACTGTGACAATGAGACGGTCGATGGTGTTGAATTCGACTTTGTGCCAGACATAACAAATGGTGTGCCAATAGTTTGTGATATGTCCTCCAATTTCCTTTCACGTCCCTTTGATGTCACTAAGTTTGGTTTGATTTTCGCGGGTGCACAGAAGAATATCGGTCCAGCAGGCGTAACAGTGGTGATCGTACGTGACGATCTCATTGGCCACCACATGAAGCAAACTCCATCGATATTGAACTTTTCACAAATGGATAAGAATGCTTCGCTACTCAATACACCACCGACGTTTTGGTATGGTTTTGAAACTTTTGATTTAACGGTATGAAAATATACGATTTCTTGTTATATTTCAGCATTTACTTAATGGGTTTGGTATTCAAGTGGATTAAGCGTAATGGCGGTGTTGTTGGTATGGCTAAAACGGCTGCAACCAAATCAAAACTTATCTACGATGTCATTGAGGAGTCGAATGGCTTCTACTCTTGTCCGGTGGAGAAACGCGTGCGCTCACGCATGAATGTGCCATTCCGTATTGGTAGCAGCGCGGGTGTTGATGCTTTGGAGAAAGAGTTTCTGGCAAAGGCTGAAAGCCAAGGGATGATCCAATTGAAGGGACATCGTTCGGTTGGCGGCATCAGAGCATCGTTGTATAATGCTATTACTGTTGGCGAAACGGAACAGTTGGCAAAACTATTGCGGGAGTTCGCTCAAAGTCATAAAGCTTAGAATTAATGGAAGACTGAATTATAGTAGCAACAACAAGTTTATGTGATTAAACTTTTTTGTGAAATGGAATATTTTTATAAATAAGTAACTCATTATATTTTGCATCCTTTGAACTTTTTGGTTTCATTCTGAAATTCAAGCCGAACGATTAACCTCCATTCGCTCAGCCCCTTTAACCTACTGAAATTGCCGAACCAGAGAGTCAAGCGTTTGTTAAATATTGAGCCCTACAACCAAGGCGAATTCAACAAGGTGAAGTTACTATGGCAGCGAATTCAAGTTATTTCATTCGTTTGCCTGATTTTTATTTGATTTTCTACATATGTATATATGTACTTATGTATATATTGTGATTTTGTTATCGATTGATTGTAATTGTGATTTGCGCGAAAAAAGAGTGGAACTCAGAGTTTTTGCAATATTAAATCCAGTTAATTTTCGATGATTCTCACAGTCGCTAAGGCAAAAATAAATACGCTGCAATTGTTGTATTTGTTCTCCTGCTCTCGTCATAATGTTATCACCTTGTCTAAAAATCTTCAGCTCCTGAAAAAAATTGTCTAAACAGCTGACACTTGAACTTAAGAGTAATATTGGCGGAGAAGGCGATATAGTTTTAAAATAGCTCAGTTCGGTGAGAAATATCAGTAGGAATCACTGCTATACATAAAAATTGGAGCGTTGAGCGCTAAACCACTGTCGAAAATCCTCATGAACATACAATTTGTATGGACCATTCCCCAATAACGCGGCGTCATAGATGAGCAAATGGAATCTCCAATTTTGACAGCGCGTTTTTTTTTTTTTTTTTGATGAAATTAGGAGTGAAGCATGAAAGTATGAAGCTAAGCAGGGAAAAAATTGAGGAATAGGAATAATCAAGTGGGAGAAAACATTGACATCTACCGGCCTATTCTGTCGAGGTAACAAAATTTTCCTAGGTATTAAAATTTACCATTCAGTAAATTTTGTTACCATTTCGTATTCTGAGCTCACAAATTTTGTTACCAGCGAAATAGGAGGTAACAAATATATCTGCTGTTTGATTTTGTGTTGTAAGTTTGAGAAAAAATGAAAAGCCAAAATGGGTAGGCATATCTTAGGCCTGGAATTCATTGAAGATGAAGAAAAAAGTGCAAAAAGCCGTATTTTAAGAAGTTTTCGAGAGTGAAAAATAGACCTTTAATTTGTAAGATAACGTTTTCATTCAGCTTTTTTTGTTATCCAGGCATATTTTCCATAATTAAATTCAAATATATATGATTTAATAAACAAATTAATAAAACTTTTTAATTTTTTTGTGCAACGTCTTCCATTTCGATGTGAATATTTTTCTTTTTACTTTATCAACTGGCAAATGTAATTTGACATGGACGAAAAAAACAGTGCTGCCAAACTTTTTTCAAACATTGTAACCAGTTCGCCAAAATACCAAATTCAATTTCGGGTGTCAAAGAAAAGTAACAAAATCTACTTTATCGGTAACTGGCTTTTCGCCTCCCCTAACGCAATTCAATTAAAATTGGGAACAATTGTTACTGCCCATCAGATCATCGAACAGGACGAATGTTAAAAATGTACTATGATAAAATGATTCATTCAGTTCAAAATTTGTTTAGCATGATTTAGAGTTGGAAATCTGAAAACTCAATGATTATCAAAGAACAATATTCTAATATTTTACCTGACCCAAGTCGCATATATTATATAATTAAGGCAAAAGATCCATTTTGAAAAATTAAAGAAGCAACTTACGAACTACTTTGCTTTCAATCTGTGTTGGGTCTAAAATGGGCTGCGGAAGAGGGGCTGACGTATAATCCGAAGATCTCAAAATTTGCCTATTTTTGCGTCTATCAATTTTAGATAGCATCTTCCAAGCATACGTATTGCATACAGAAAGGGCCCGACGTGAATGAATAAAACTAGTAGTAGAGGCAGCTACGTTATACTCGGGCAGTCAGAGGACATTGCAGTCATTATCGTCACCAATGATGAGTTCTAGTATCGTCAACAATTCTTGACCTAAAGCTCTAAACTCGCTGGATGTTTGGCCGATGAGTTGGGGAAATCGGAAAGATCTTTTAAAGAAGCCGAGATAGGACCATATCCATTTGGAACGATCAGAAGAAAGCTTCACTGGCAATTCGAGCAAAGAGAGAAATCCATATTTAACTGTAAAATAACGAAACAGAAGAAATAGCTCGGGGAAAAGTATACTTTTATTTGTATATAGACTTCAGCCATAATAATGGGTCAATGGCACTTCGGAGGCAGATAGACTATACCATAGACAGCCGTTGTCATATCGGCGAATTATAATAGAATAAAGATACAATAATGCATTTTCCCTTTGAATACAGAATATTTGGAATTCATCAGGTAGCAAACCTTGAATGACTGTCCACAAAAAGGGATTTTTGTAAAGGGTGCCACCTTTGGATATGTGGTTTCCTTTGAGAGAATATTATACTACTATTGGAGTTGTTTTTTTTACAGTCGTTACGACAGTTTGGTTTCTCATTTCATTATAAACAGACTTACTCCCGAACAACGTTTGCAAATCGTGCAAATTTATTTCCAAAATAATGGTTCGGTTCGCGCGACGATTCGTGCGATGCGTGCAATATTCGGTCGACATAATCTTTTAACAGGGCAATAATCCGCATTCTCAGAGACGCCGTGCAGTGCGCACCGTAGGCGTTATTGCTGCTGTGGAGCAGAGTATCGAAGAAGAGCCAAATGTGTCCATCCGGTCTTAATGTCTCAGTTCATGGTTTTTTGTGCCGGAATTGTAAGATGATGATGTGTACAACCTTTGGTGCTTCTCGACAAACATTTGTGTAAAAAAACACCCTTTATCATATATTAAATGTAAGTACTTTACTTTGCAACAATAGGTCTTAGTATATTACATCAAAATGGCGTCCACAGTGCTAATTTGGTCCGAAGCTTAAATTTTACAAATATTTATTTATGTATTTTTGTTCATCAAAAATCTTGAAACCGACCCTCGTTACTGAAGCCGACGACAGATAGGGCAGTTGCGTCGCGTTTTCGTGGCGGATTGATTTTGACGTCTAAGATAACAAAATGTATAAAAGCATAAATGCATAAATAAATAAATACTGTAAGAAATTTTCTTCATAAACAATGCAAAAAATTCCCCATCTTTTTTTGCGCATTGACCATTTGCAGATTAAAACTCCGATTTATTTTATTAATTCTTCCACAATTTCAAAGAATCTAAATGTAAAACTTTCAAGGAAGTTCAATAATTACTTAATATATGATAGTAACAGGTAGATAGAAAAATAACCCAAGAAAAGAATGTTCATTTCGTCAGAGCTTTGGCTTTTTGTGACTTCCATAATTCCACATCATGCAAGCTCTTTCAGACGTCATGAACAAATAAAGTTCTCACTCAAAAAATTGCTTTTCAAACACGAAAGTTTCGTTCATTTCTCATTGCCATTTTATTATCGCTCAATAAAAACACTACTCTTATCACCTAATCTATGAAAGCGTATTGAAATATTTAAAATAAATACACTCAATATGAAGTACAACTTGCTGATGAGCCATAAATAAATAAAATAAGCAAGTTAATGGCTTCAATTCGGTCAGTTTCGTCCAAAAAAAAAAATTAATCTACTTTTTTAGCTCCAATTCGACTGCAAAATATGGTAATCAAATTTGTTAATCTAATTAACTAAACTTGTGCTGCTTTTAACCAGAATTAATTATGTTGAAATTTCATTTTACTGGGCTAAAAAAAATTTATTGAGAATTTTATTGTATTTTTCACTTTTCTACTCCATGCAACGGACCACTTTTTGGCCAAAATTTAATTTTTCAAAGTCTCCTTCAGATAGCAGAGATACTTGACTAACGGAACGATGTCATTCCATTTGGTTAATATGAGAATTAAATTTATTTTCGAGACAAAATGATAGTGTTAATGTTGAAACCGCACAATCTCATACTGAACGTTAATTTAAAAATGGCTGCCTTCTAAAGGGTGATTTTTTTAAAAGCTTTAGGAAAGTTTTTCAAAAAAAAAAACACAAGAATTTCAGAAAAATAAATTTTTTTAAATTTTAATTTTATTTGCAATCTATCTTACATAAGACAATCAGCAAATTTGATAGAAAAATATATGAAATCTTTATTTGAATCGATAGTACGGTCCATATAGTTTAATGTTTGAAGATTATTTCAATTTTAGCATACTCTTTCCAACATTTCGGCCGGTTTCTCACGAATAAATGTTTCAATGTTGTTCTCGAATGCATCAATTGAAGCGGGATTGTCTGTATAAACATCAAGTCAAGACGTCAAGGCATTTTGGGCAAAAAAAAATTTGATATCATCGCACAGTAGCGCTCACCACTCACAGTTACGTTACGATTTACATTATCTTTGAAGAAGTAGGGTCCAATAATGCCACCAGAACATAAATGACACCAAATTGTGACTTTTTCTGGATGCATTGGTAGCTCTTGCAATGCTTCTGACTGATCTTCATTCTAAAATCGACAATTCTGCTTATTTCCGCACCCATTAAGCCAAATGGAAGAAGCGCGCGATGAACTTTCTTAACAGAGCACGCATTTTTATTGTAAAATTCAACAACTTGAAAGCGTTGTTCGTTTTTAGGACGATTCAGACCAAACTGAAGGTGGACCATTTGGGACGCAGTCGCGGTCACCATTTGCATGAAATAATCTTCAAAAATGAAAGATTTAAATAAAAATTTCATGTATTTTTCTGCATTTTATGTGTTTTTTTTTTTTTGAAAAACTTTTCTATAGCTCTTAAAAAATCACCCTTTACAAAACACTACCAAGTACTTTCATAACACGGTTAAGAGCACTCACTGTAAGTAAATGAGCCTGAATAAGAACCTATTCACTGGCCTATTCTCACTGTTACCGGTAAAGTAAATTTTGTTACTTTTCTTTAACACCCGAAAATGAATTTGGTATTTTGGCGAACTGGTTACAATGTTTGAAAAAAATTTGGCGGCACTGCTTTTTCCGTCCATGTCAAATTACATTTGCCAGTTGATAAAGTAAAAAAGAAAAATATTCACATCGAAATGGAAGACAGT